AAAAAAATGTATGTTCATTTAGAAAAAGAATAAAGAGAAAGCCTAATCAAGAAGAAACCCTGGGATGCTGAGAAAACAATGCTTCCTCTGAAAGCTAGGGACAGCCATTATTGTCATACCTGAGAAGTGCAAAAATCAAGGTCTCAAAAATCAGGTCTCAAATATTCTTCTGTGATTAAAATTGCCCTTCAAGAAGTTGCTGGTTTGCGTGGGCCCTGACTAATAGCATAGATGTCTTAGTGCCCTGTGCCCACTGACATAACCCACAGGCATCCCCACAGCCTCCAAAAAGTTACATGTCTTCCACATTCCCTTTGTAGGCAAGTTCCTCCACTGCCTTCTTGCTGGCAAGTCTGGCAAAGCACTTTTGTTCAAATCCATTGGCTCTGTCCACTCCATCCCAGCGATATCCTGGCCAGATATTAAATCTGTTGGGAGGAGGTCCTGGACCACTGTAGCGAGGTCTCACTTTCTTTTTCCTGTTCTCCTTCGCCTTAAACTTCCTGATGAACTTGGCCATGGAGTCTCCCTCTCTTTCTTGTTCTCTTAGCATCCGATCCAGATCTTCGTCATCAATGTAGCGGGCCAGTCGCTTTTGCATCTCCTTCGTGGCATCATCTACATTTTGTTGCTGTTGCCGGCTCTGGGCAAGCCCTTTTCCCCACTGGGCATACAGTTCAGCCCTCTCTGAGTCCTTCTCTGCTCTCCTCCTTTGCTGTAAGCGTTCCAGCTTCAAGTTCCTCTTACGACCTGACTTATCTCCAAATACAGTTTTAGCACACTCGGATGCAGCTTCAAATTCCACCACTCCTTGGTCCCATTTCTTCAAGTCCGGCTGCCCTCGGGGCATGTCAGTTAACACCAGCCCAGTTTTAGCCCCAGAATCCATATGTGCAGCCTTCTTTCCAGGAGGCTGACTCCTTCAAGGTGGAGACAGATCAGAATTAGAAAATTTGGTCCTCTGTCTCCTTCTTGGTGGAGAAAGGTCAGGATCAGAGCCCCAGTGCCTAGGTCTATTCCACAGAGGCGACAGATCTGAAACAGAATTCTGGAGCCCTAGACTTTGTTTATGCCGTGGAGGAGAAAGATCTGAATCAGAGCCTCTCTGGCAGTTCCCTTTAGAATCAGGCTGCTGCTTATCTCCAAAATGAGATTTTGCTTGCTTTTTTTGTGGAAGAGACAGGTCTGTGTCATGCTCATGTTTGCTGTCCTTTGGCAGTGGCCCCTTCTGATGTGGAGAAGCCTTCCTAGAGGTATTTTCTGGGGCTTTCCTGCTTTTGGCACTGAACAGTGAACGAGTGACATCAGGAACCATTTCAGGGCAGTCATGATGGGCCCTCCTGAGTTGCCATGGGTCCAAGGAGTCAAGAGTCCTCCTAGACTGAGATGTGTCAGGGGAGCTGTTACAGGTCCTTCTAGGGAAAGTGACATTGAGCCTTGCAGCAGTCAACACTTGCAGGGCACTGATTTTCGTGTAGGGAAAAATTGGCTGAGGGATGGATAGAGATTGGCAATTCAAAATGTAATCAAAATATGCAAATAATTTATGGGTAGGCAGATAAGTTTAGCAACACATGAATAGATTTCATGACATAAATATTTTGAGAGATATTTATAGTTAAATAAACATTACTAAGGTTATGGATAATAGGTAAATATTGATTATAACTAAACTTTATTGAGTGTTTATTATTTGCCTGATGCTTTCCTAAATGCCCTGTCAGTATTCTCAATGAATACTCTCACCAATCCCAAGATAAATACTATTATTTTAATTTTATTATAAATACATACAGCATGGGCACAGAGATTGCTAAGCAACTTGTTGAAGGTCATACAGCTAGCATTCAAACCCAAGTGGTTGGTCTCCCTCCAGAGTCTTTAGTTTTAAAGTTATTTTCCTTTCCAAACTCCAAAAGAGAGACAAAGACAGAGAACTACAGGTAAAGAGAGACAGAGGTTATGCAGTGTGTAAGTGAATATCCTAAAATCCAACTGGACCAAAAAGTTGTCAAGAAGTCAGCTAGGATGTTGGCATCCTCTTAGTTAGTAGTCAGCAGTTCAATTTTTTCAAGTTGCAATAGAATTTTCTTTAATGATAAGAATATTCTTCATCTGTCCTATCCAATATAGTAGCCACTACCCAATGTAGTTATTGAATACTTAAAATATTCAATATTCACCTAGAACAACTGGTGAAATTTTAATTTAATTGATTTAAATTTAAATAGGTTTATGTGCCTAGTGTGTATGATATTGGACAGTACATCACTGAACTACTAGCTCCCAAGACTTGGAGTAACTCTTTTCTATCTCCATTCATTCCCAAGCATTCAGATTTTTCTGTTCTTTATGTCAGCTCTGAATGTTCTTTAACGGCTTTGTTCCTTTTTGTGATCCAGGCTTATGTTCTATTTTTTCGAAAAGAAATCCTTAAAGTAGAAGTTCTTAACATGGGTCTATGATGGTTTTCAACATTATGTCAATTCACTTAGTTTTTGTGCAGAAATTTGCTTGCATGTGTGTGTGTGTTCATGTGTGTGAGTATGTGTGTGTGTGTGTGTGTACATTCTTTCTTGGGAGACACTTTATGAAATTTTCAGAAGGGTCCTGATTAAAACAATTTAAGAAGCACCTTAACATTGCTTCTTAAATTGCAAAATCCTGAACCCTCTGTCAGCCATGCCTAGGCTGACCTACAAAGGTGAGTATCTAAGATGCACATTTGAATGCATATTCTTTGTTGTTATTGTTGGGAATTCATTGAGGGTACAAGAAACCAGGTTACACTGATTGCATTTGTTAGGTAAAGTCCCTCTTACAATTATGTCTTACCCCCTAAAGGTATGTCACACACTGAGACCCCACCCCCCTCCTTTCCTTTCTCAGTTTTTCCCTTCTCACACCCCCCTCTCTTCTTACCTCTCTTTGCTCTCCCCTTCTCCCACTCCCCACCGTGTACTAGGTCATTAATTGTCCTCATATCAAAATTGAGTACATAGAATTTTTGCTTCTCCATTCTTGTGATGCTTTACTAAGACTAATGTGTTCCACTTCCATCCAGGTTAATACAAAGGAGGCAAAGTCTATATCTTTTTTAATGGCTGAATAGTATTCCATAGCATACATATACCACAGCTTGTTAATCCATTCCTGGGTTGGTGGGAATTCAGGCTGTTCCACATTTTGCAATTGTAAATTGAGCTGCGATAAACGGTCCAATGCAAATGTCTTTGTGATAAAAGGATTTCTTTTTTCCATTTGGGTAGATGTCCAGATGTCCTTTGGGATTGTAGGATCAAAAGGGAGGTCTAGCTTGAGTTCTTTGAGGGTTCTCCATACTTTCTTCCAAAAATGTTGTAATAGTTTGTAGTCCCACCAGCAGTGTGAAAGTGTTTCCTTCTCTCCACATCCATGCCAGCATCTGCAGTTTTAAGATTTTGTGATGTGGGCCATTCTCACTGGGGTTAGATGATATTTCAGGGTGGTTTTGAATTGCATTTCTCTAATAATTAAGGATGATGAGAATTTTTTCATATGTTTGCTAGTCATTCATCTGTCTTCTTTAGAAGTTTCTATTCATTTCTTTTACCCATTGATACATGGGATTATTGACTTTTTTCATGTGGATGAATTTGAGTTCTCTCTAGATCCTGGTTATCAAGCTTTTGTCTGATTCAAAATATATAAATATCCATTCCCAATGTGTAGGTTATCTATTTGCTTTAGTTGTTGTCTCCTTACCTGTACAGAAGCTTTTCAGTTTCATTAAGTCCCATTTGTTTATTTTTGTTGTTGTTGAGATTGCCGTGGAGGTCTTCCTCATAAAGTCCTCCAGGCTGATATATATTCTTAAAGATAACAGCATGAAATTGAATGCACGTTACTAAGATTTTAATCTCAGTGTTTGTCACTGGAAGCAGTAGGCATTAATGTCTAGAATGGCCCATAGATCGATATAGGCCTTACTTGGAGTTATAGTGAGAAATGTAGTTGCTGCTAACTCAACTTGGAGTTATTAGAGCAGCCACATAGTGACATAGAATGAAGAGAATAAGGGTTCTCTATGGAGGAGCAGGGAAACAATTCCAGATGAGTTTTCAATACTAGGGACACGGGCTTAACTAATCTAAACAGTATTTGAACCTTTCCATGGGAAACTCTTTTTTTTTTTGGTATAAATTATTTGTTGTCTTTTCACCCTCTGTGTTCTGTTAATGTGAAATTTAATTGTAGTTATAAGCAAAAGTTGGTTGCCTAGGAACAATTGTATATTCAGTTTAACAGAAATAAAAGAATATTTGTCTTAAAATGCAAGATTGTTTGTTACATTTTGCCATACAGTTAATTATAAACAATTTTAATCTCGAAAGTGAAAGTTGTAATATTATAAGTGCAGCATCAGCTCTTAATGGAAAAGCAAAATGATCTATATGTCTCCCTTGCAAAAGGGAATTTAGATTTACAATTAACATGCAAATCATGTATCAGACTTCTGCAGGAGATTCTTCAGGATACCTTATCCAACGATTACTCACTGTCCTATTTTGTCAAATTGAAGAGTCCTGGTAAGTATTTCTCCTGGGTAACCTCACCCTCACCTTCCTACATCATGGAAGTATAGGTTTGCACATATACATAACATGATGATAGAAAATATGATATAGTAAATGAGTTTTCTAAATTTTGGTTCTAAGTCTCCTTGTCGATACCAGTAGATAAGTATGCAGGCAGTAATACTATTCAAAGAGATGTGGACGGCAAAAAATATATTCAACGGTTTTGGAGGTACTTGAAGGAAAACAAAAGCACTGATCAGCGTTACTAGAATCAATAAAGATGTTAAACTGCCAACAACTAAATTGATGATTCAATCCTTGGCCTACGTCTCCCCAAACAGGGGTCTGTTGTCCAGGCCACTGGTGCCGTAGGTCCTGGTAGAAAAGTCCTCCATTTAGGAGTTTCTTCACTCTCCCCAGGCCACTCAAAAGCGTGCCAGCATGACCACCGAAGTCGCCGGGCCACAACTCCGTCCGCCCGCACTAAGGGCGCACGGTCGGCCGGAGCCCGGGGTGGGGGGTAGGGGGTCCGGGAGGCGGCGGCGGGGGGCGCTCACACCCGGGTCGCCCCGCGCTCCTCATCATCATCTGGAGCAGCTCGGTTTCTTGCTAGTTCAGGAGCCCTGGGAGTGCCAGCCCCGGGTCCACACCTTCGCCGGGATCCGGTGCGTAGGCTCGGGGACGCGGGCTGGCTGTGGGGGGGAGGAGAAACCGTCCGTGCTGGCAGAGAGCGGGCGCTCGGCCCCTCTGCTGCGCTGCGGGTCCCGGCTCACTCCCCCTAGGCTCCCGGGCCCGGGCCGTGGCCACTCCGTGGGAAATTCTTTATGGATGAATTTCATCTCGCTGAACCATGTGTTGATTGTAAAACTTGCAATATTAAGAGGTTATTCTGTTCCCTAAGAGGAGAAAACTGGATCTCAGAATCCTTTTCCAGATTCACCTTGAGAAAGAGAAATCTAATTGCAGTAAACAACAAGGTGAAGGAAAAGGGTCTGAGTAAATGAAATCGGCAAGAGGAAGACTTAGAATGTTTCTGAAAAGGGATTAAAACAACTCCTCTCTTGCTCCTAGGCATCCGTTTTCTACTATTTCTGTAAAACATTACCACAAACTTAGTGGTTTAAAATAACATATGTATGCGGGGAGCCTGTAGCTAAATAGTTAGGGGGCTGGCCACATGCTCTGGGGCTGGTGGATTTGAATCTGTTGGGGCCTGCTAAACAAACAAACAAAAACAATAGCTGTGCATTGTGGCTGGCGCCTCTACTCCCAGCTACTAGGGAGGCTGAGGCAAGAGAATCGCTTAAGCCTAAGAGTTAGAGGGTGCTGTGAGCTGTGATGCCACAGCACTCTACCGAGAATGACAAAGTGAGACTCTGTCTCAATTAAAAAAAAATAGTAACATATTTATTATTGAATAGTTCTGTAGGTCAGAAGTCAAACATGTGTCTCACTCAGCTAAAACAAGGTTTTAGAAATTATTTTCTGCAATCCTTTCTGGAATTTCTGGGAAATCTCTATTCTCTTGTTTTTTGCACCTTCTGAAGGATGATCACATTGCTTCATGTCCTGTTCCCTCTCTTGTTAAAAACCAACATGTCCAGTCCTTCTCCTGCTGCCATCTCTTTGGTTTTCTGCATCTGGGAAAGGTTCTTCACTTTGAATTACTCATGGGATAGGATTTAGCCTACCTGAATAATCCAGGGAAAGTTCTTTATCTCAAGGTACTGAAGTTTAATTACACATACAAAGTTCTTTTTGGCACACAAGGTAACATATTCATAGGTTTCAATGATTCCCATGTGGACATCCTTGGGGTCTATTATTCCCCAAATAGTGGTATTTCTAAAGGTCCTTGGGAGGCCAGGTGACTTCACCCTCCCTCACATGCTATCAGCTCAGGTTCTTTTAGTACCCAGAAACTAAGAAATGCAGAAGGTCAGAGCTTCATATTCCCTAAAGTGCGTCCTTTCTCCTTCATCCCACATCATGTAGGTGGAGAGGTTGAGTACCAAAGAGGGAAAAGGAGCACATCTAAGTTACAACAATTTAAGATCACAACCAAGATACGTATATATACACACATGTATACATCTGCACATTTGTTTTTAGAACCAGATCTTATGTTCTACTTGTACTTAATAATATTTTCTTTATGGGTATTAATGTTTGTGGTTACTATCTATATAACGCAGGGTGCCAAATTTTTCTTTAGTACTGAAATCTGCAAGACAACTAACTCCTTGATGTTTCAGAATGATTTATATCCCTATTGGTGGCAAATGTTGGATTGTTTTTCCCCTTCTTTTTACTAAGTATATTAGCATTTCATGATCAGTAATAGAATTCTTGCCTCATGGAGCATATCCATCAGTTTTTGTAGCAAGCTATGGACATGGGTATGTTAGAATAATATTTTAGTTATTCTCTGTTATGGCTGTTATCTCAATGCTTTTTGTCACTGACTCTGTTGATGGATGTCTGACTTAATGACCTCTTTTCTTTTTGCCTAGTTAACCTCTATTCCACTATGTCACTGTTCAACCAAACTACTGATGACCACCGGACCTTCTTCACACTGACTGGGATTCCAGGAATGCCAGAAAAGGATTTGTGGATGGCCTTACCCCTCTGTCTTCTGTACAGCACCACGTTTCTGGGCAATGTCACCATCCTAATTGTGATCAAAGTTGAACAAAGTCTCCATGAGCCCATGTATTATTTTCTGGCCATGTTAGCTGCCACTGACCTTAGCCTTTCACTGTCTTCCATGCCCACCATGGTCAGTGTTCACTGGTTCAGCTGGCAGTCAATAACTTTTAATGCCTGTATCACCCAGATGTCCTTCATTCATACCTTTGGGGGAGTGGAATCAGGTGTTCTGGTGGCCATGGCCTTTGATCGTTTTGTGGCCATCCGCTACCCTTTGCACTATGCTACCATTCTTACTCACGGTGTCATTGGCAAAATTGGAGCAGCCATCCTGCTGCGGAGCATGGGGGCTGTGCTCCCTGTGCCTTTCCTCATCAAAAGGCTACCTTTCTGCCACTCTACTGTCCTCTCCCATGCATACTGCCTCCATCAGGATGCCATGAGGCTTGCCTGTGCTGACACAAGTGTCAATAGTATCTATGGCCTGCTGGCGGTGATCTTCATTATTGTATTTGATGCCTTGATCCTTTTAGTCTCCTACATTCTAATCCTCCAGGCGGTATTGGGCATTGCTTCCTGGGAAGAGAGGGTCAAGGCTATCAACACCTGTCTCTCTCATATCTGTGCAGTGCTGCTTTTCTATGTGCCTCTCATTGGCATGACCTTGATTCATCGATATGGGAAGCATCTGTCACCAGTAACACACACATTCATGGCCAATGTCTACCTGCTGCTCCCTCCTGTGCTCAATCCCATTGTGTACAGTGTTAGGACCAAGCATATTCAACAGCACATCATCCAGGTGTTCTGTGGGGGCAGGGTTGGTTCTTAATGGTATCTACTATTTTTGTGCAAATGCAATCAAGTCAGAGAAAAGTATCAAATGTAGCACTGTCCTATAGAAATTCCTGGACAAAGGGAAGAAATGTTCTATATCTCTGCTGTTTAGTCCAATATCCAGAGGTCACACACAGGTATTGAGCACTTGAAAGTCTGCTAGTTCAAGTAAGGAATTGAATTGTAAATTTTTTTTTCAGTTCACTTATTTTTTTTTTTTATTAAATGATAGCTGTATACATTAATGCAAACATGGGGTACAGTGTAGTGTTTTCATATACAATTTGAAATACTTTCATCAAGCTGGTTCACACAGATTTCATGTCATTTGCTTAGTCATTGTGTCAAAACATTTATATTCTAGTTCTAGAAAAGTTCACTTGTACCCTT